CAGAAAGCTGCTTGCTGGACTACCCCCTTTGCTTGAATGATTTTTTTGTTTTTTAATACTTTTAAATAAGGGATCCAAAAGCCTCCAAAAGCATCAAATCTCAATGGAAATCTCATTTTTTTGAATAGAAATCTCCATCCAAAAGCCTCCAAAAGAATCAAATCTCAATGGAAATCTCCAAATGTTTAATAGAAATCTCAATCCAAAAGCCTGTAAGATAAGCAAATCCCAGCAAATTCAAAAGGGAAAAAGTAAACTATAACAATAAAAAAAAACACTACAACTACCCCTCCAAAAAAAAAAAGACATTATTCTAGGGGCCTTTATAAATCAGTGCAGGGAAAAAACAAGACATAATTCTAGGGGGGTTTATAAATCTGAGGGCCACATTATTCATATTAAGATCATTATCAATGGATTTGGATCTGAGTTTGGGTGTCACAACAGTTTTGGATTGTACTTAGCTGAAGCAAATGGTTTCGGCAATTCATCCTGTTGACACTTGTGGAAGTACTTCTTTGAGAATCCCACGCCGTGGGAGTACAAAGTGACGTCGATTAAGCCAGCCTAGGCCAAGCGGAAGCGAGAACTGGATAACCAACCAAGGCTCAGACCCCGGACGACCAAGCTCGGCATGTCAACCTAATCGGGACGGTCTCCAACCTAGAAGCAAGGAATGGTCTCCAACCTATTAGCGATGGCCTCCAACCTAATAGCGATGGCTTTCAACCTAATAGCAATGGCCTCCAACCTAATAGCTTTGATTAACTTGGCTGAAATATGTTTGACATGAGAAGAATATTGTCCGTGATTCCCCAACATCAAATTGTGGATTATTCTGTAGTACCTAGTAGTACCTTTCCTGGAGACATTGCAAACGTAAGCAAACCCAACAGACAAAACAAAAACGGGTCAACACAATTATGAAGCCCAAAAAAGAGAGAGACACCTTCAGAAAGCCTATCTGGGGTAGTTGGAACATGTTTGAACACTTGATACTATGATACCAAAGTTTAGAGAAGCATGAAGAAGTCCTGGTTGACACACACACACACAATGCCCTGTGAACTGGTGAAAGATACCCAAGCCACCCAGCTTTGGGAGCAGATAGCAGCCTTTGTCTCAGGCCACCTGCCTCAGGGACCAAGCGACAATGGCGCCTGAGAGACGATGGCTGAGTCAGCTGAGATGACGGAGAATGAGCTCACAGGCAACACACGAAGCGACTCAGAAAAGCACAACACCATCAGAAGCACATTAAGGCTGACAAGAAAGGAGCATAAAGGAGCGCAGACTATGCAAAAAAACCTCACTTTAACTTTAGAGCGTTACACGCTCTCATGGCAGCCTTGTGAAGGTCTTGAATATGGACGGCAAAGCCGCCAATATCACATCGCTGGCGCATTCCAAGGCCTCAGAAGCCAAACACGTGTTTTCTGGCACAGGAAGGTGGGATCTTGAGCAACGACATGATGGTGGATGACATTTACTTATGTTTATATATATGATTATTTTTAATATATGGATTATATTTTACTTGTTTGGTTTGTTTTCCTCAGTTGGCGAACCCCGGGTTTTTGCCCAAAACGAAAGACTGGCATTGCTACTGTCAACGTAGGGATCGCCTGAGCCATATTTGCTCTCTTTGAGGCAGCAGGGTGTCTTGAGATTCTCATGAAGCTTTTAGGCTTTAAGCAAAGACAGCCCGAAGCTGGTGCCTAGAGCAAGGCGAAGACCTTTTCAACTCAGACAGCAGAAGTTGAAAGCTCAAGTCCATCAAGTGCTAACCATGAAAAGAATACATCCAAAGCTACTTGTTGCAACAAAATCACCTTTAGGCGCTTTCGCAACTAGCAGTCTTTGAAGCGATAGACTAAACTGACAATGAAAAGGGACACAGTTGAGCTGACACGCATGCCTCAACACCCAATGTCAATATGACCGCAAGCGAAGCCAAGTGCAGGCCTCAGTTCAGTGGATCCCCGATGTATAGTGACTAGTAGTCTATAAGAGCGTTTTCTGTTGACAACGCTTCTCTCAACTAGAATCCAAAAGGGGAGCTCAGTTTAGTTGTTAAAATGAAATCCCAAATAGGATCCATACGTCAAAGTGTCATGTGTGCTAGTCCATGTCGCCATGTGTCCGCATTTTGCATTGAACATCGAGCCCTTGAGCTCTACTTATTCCAACCCAGGACTGACGAGGCTGCATCAGACTCAAAGGTGCTCACGGGAATGTACTCAATCCTTTGTTGCTGTTCATCATTATTGTATATTATCGTCACAGTTATTTTGATGTTTTATATTTTGGCTTGGTTTTCACTGTACAGGTTTGATTGAATGATTGCATGTAATGTATTGATGAGTTTGCTTTGGGAAACTATTCTGGATTTTTGAAAGACGAGGGATCATCTCGAAGGACTACAGTTGTGATAGCATGGCAGCAGAGAACGTGCAACATGCAATCTTTTGCTGACGGAAATAGTTATTATAAGTTACTAGAAGAGTGTTGTCTTTCAGGTGCAGGCAAAGAAGTCGGATGAAAAGCCTCAGGAGACCCGAACAAGAGCAGTTTCAATTCATTCTGCATTGCCATTGAAGAACGATCTAGAATGATGGCACTAGTTGGTTTAGTTGGCAGTTGTTTGTTTTTTAGTGAAGTTATTGCTCTTGTTGATGTTGATGAGAAAGATATGGTGGGTATTGTGATGCAGATGTTGTTTTGTGTTTGGTCTTTGCTGTCAGAAAAAGCACCTTGGAATCGGTTCCCTAGGGTTTGGAGGGCCCCTAACTTTGCCATGGAATAGGCAGGCTCAAGAGTGTTGAATTCATTTCAGCCTCAAGTGTTTGCAGTCTTTTGCCAGGTGTGTATACATACACACAGAGATGTCACCGCGGGAAACCCTCAAGGTTTCCACCTCTAGATTGTGAGCGGTCTGGGTTTCATTGTGAGGATCAGGCGGTGCCAGTAGCACAGAAGTCCTTGAAAGAGCATCCCGGCTAAAGGTTTGCAACATGTTCAATTTTGCTTGTACTCCATACATGCAAGGGCCCAGTTGGACACCTCACCTCTCATTCTGATTATGTCATCGCCGTAATCCTTTGAGATCCCCTAAACACGTGTCAGTTCACGAAGACCATGAGTGATATTTGGCTCGCGCAAATGGTCATGCTGAAAAGGGGAGCTGGATACCTTGAACAACCAAGGTACTTCAGCTGGCGACCTGTGCCATGGTCATTTGCTGCTGTAGTTATTTGTCGAAGCACGGAGAGAGTCTGTTGGACCGAGGACAAGCCATGAGTGTTACATTCTTCCCCCAACAAGATGCCAGACGCCAGGTGGCTTTGTTTCCTTCTTGGAATTTTCCTCCTCACCAAGTTCCAAATTGCGCCTTGGATGACAGAATTAGGTTTGTTTTGGACACTGTTGGAACCAGTTTTGTCAGGTAAGGTGTAGCCTTGCTTTTGTGAACCGAAAGCAACAAGATGCTGCGAGGGCATGACCCTACGACCAAAGAACCTAGAAATAGTTTCAGCATTTTGGCATCGGACTGCTGTGGCCAGTACTGTAGTCAAGTCATATGGCCAGTCTTTTCGTGCTCCTTTTGGTTCTCCTTTTCCCCTCTCTTTCCAAACCGGTGGGAAATGACTCGCAGGTTTACAATGACTCGCCCTGTGCAGTTCTGGGACTTCAAGGTCCTGTGACTTCGTCGGACTTGAAAAAGGCGACTGTCGCATCGTCGTGGTCCATCGTCATGTGTCGTTTGGTCCGTCGTTGGGCGCTTAAAAAGAAAGAAGGGGTGACCTGCCTGAAAGCATGTCATGACAAGTCGCGCTATTCACGATTCATTTATCAAACCCTTAGCTGTCAGAAAGGTTTCTTAGATTCTACTAGCAGTTACTCTAGCAGTTACTAGCAGTGACAGTCCATAACAGTTCCCCAGGAAGGGTTTCTAGCAGGATTTGGAAGATGACTTCCTAGTAGTGTTCTGCGCTTCTTCCCTTCCTTGCCATTCGCACTGGACGTGTGCTCGTCGAGCTGAACTGTTGCGCAGCTATCATGACAGGCCTTCCGGCAGCTGTCAATGTGCACCCACCCAGACCGACTTCGAGGAAGGCTCAAGCGGCTGCCGAGCCCAGAGGAGGCAGGGAAAGACGGTCAAACCAATCGCCCAACCGCCCGGTTGTTGGGCGCGGCAAATAATAACAACATGTCATGTGTTGCAGGTTGACAGGATTTGACAGGGAGGTCATGTTGTGGTATCTTGGCAACCATGTTGTCTCCTTTGTGCGGTGACTTGGCTTTTTCCATTTTTTCGGGCCAAGCTCAGCCCCACAAAGCACGTCCATTGGCTGCCAAAATGGATTCTGCCCTGAAAGCCTCAAAAGCTTTGGCAGAGACTGGACAACTTTCCTGTTTTGAGATCAGGAGGGAAATGCAAAGGTGGCAGCCTGCACTGCACACAACCACCACAAGAGGTCATGATCCTTGGGATGAAACACAACCCTTTTAATGACATTCTAAGGAGGGCGCCGGCCACTTGCCGTGTGATTCTGGGCCCTCAATTTACACTTTTGACTGTAAGTGATTAATTGATAGATGGTACAAGCATGTGCTGTAGTTGTTGGTGACAAATGACTTCTAAATCGCACTGGGCTTATGGTTCATGTGGAGGTGGGGGAAGCCAACAAGAAAGCAACAACGTGCACGGAAGAGCACCCAAGAGTGTGTGTGAATATATGGTTGTCGATCTAAAGGTCCTAGACAGGATTGTTGATGACGATGACCTGGAACACATCAAAATCTCATTTGGCGAAAGTTTTTTCTCGAGTTGGCGAAAGTAGATTTTTTTTGGCAAAAGATATGGCTAAAGACTAAAGATGTTCTTTCTGTTGCTGTTGCTGCTACTACTACTACTACTGCTCCTACACTCCTGCTGCTGCTGCTACGACTACTACTCCTGCTGCTGCAGCTACTACTACTACTACTACCACTACTGCCACTATTCCTGCTCCTGCTTTGGGGGGGGTGGCTTTGCCACAAAACTCTACCCCGCCAAAGGCGAAAGTTTGGCGAAAGTTCAGCTCAAGATTGGCGAAAGTTCACCCTGCCACATCTGACCCCAAGCCCATTATGAGTAAGTCTGAGTGACCGGCTACTACAGTGATTCTTGCAATTTTGATTCTTGCTGACACCCAGGAGAAACAATAGAGACGTACAGGGTGTCAACAGTTAAGTAGAAGACAAATGCTGACAAACAGTGAAGTTTCTTTTTTGTATTGCCAGTAAAGAAGAAACCATTGACGTGAACAAAGCACAACATACATGGCCACATAAATACAACATACTTCGGCGAAAGATAAAACGCAGGAAGGCGAAAGTTTGGCTAAAGTAAACTTTTTTGGCTAAGATGACGGATCCCGGATAAATAAATTTAGATCAACACCCATATATATATATATTCATATATATTTTTACTGAACAAAAATATATTCACATGATATGTATATTGTACGTGTGTAAGGTTTATCTGAGGAGGAAATGGATGGTACGAATTTGCCCTGGAAGTAGACCATAGATCCAATCCACATGATCAAAAACGCAACACCAACAGTAAGTGTGTGCTAGTCATGTATGCACCGTGTGCCCCTACTTAACAGCTCAAGCCCAAGCAACCCTGGGAAACATGATGTTTGAGAGAACCCACATGACATGTTGAACTTGTTGGGAAACATTTCAGACGCTTTCCTCGCTTAGTTTCTTCTCCTGGGGGCATTTGCATTTCGCATGTTTCAGCAGAGTTCCCACCCCGCCCTTCAGTGAGGAATTCAGCGTTTGAACGTGTGATATTCATATATATATATATTTATAGTCGCTATTTACTACTAGTAGCAATGCACTTGTTACTAGTAGCGATGCATTTGCTACTACTCATTCTTTTGCTGCATAGATGTCCTGCAGAGCGATCGGCCAGTCTCGAAGAGGGGAAATCATTTTCAACCGCGCCTCAGCGGCGAAGGATGAGCTGTTGGATGCCCCAGTCACAATGGGTCGTTTGGAGTTTGTTATGGATATTTTGAATCATCTACATAGCTCAAAATTGTGTCATGTCGAAGGATGTGTTTATTGCACGACGTTTTTTTGGATGCCTGCAGAACCAGTAAGACTGACTGACTGTTTGCGGTGAATGTTGCTTAGAAAAAATGATTGGACCGAAGGAGTACTTGAGTGTGTCGTTTTTTCAAGTGGAATCATTGCAACAGGTCTGAAACTCTCAGAACTGATCTATAATTTTAAAAACCATCCATATGATACTAGTTGATCTTTTGACGTGCAACAAGATCCTTCAATATTGAACAATCGGAAATGATTTGAAGATTGTCACCAGCGATGCCAATGTGGTGTGACTTCGTTGAGCTGTTTCAGCATGATAAATCATGATGAATGAATCCAAGATGTTGGTGGAATTGCTTGGCTTGGCAGGTTCAAAACTCAGAAGAACAAGAAAGCCATGCAATGCTATCAGGTGACAAAGTGGCGGATTCGAACTTTTGGGCATGGATCGGATACGACTCCACGGACCACTTTAGTTAGGGTAACAATCCTTAAGGTTTTGTTCAAAGTGTCCAGTGCCTGAATTGAATTCACTGAATACATGGGCATCGAGGGATATTTAGCGACTTTTAGCAACTTGGAGGCTTAGGTTGTTGGTGCAAGATTGCTCGAAATATGAGTCGCGCACCACAGGCCAGTTGAATTCAGACATAAATGTGGAAGGCCTTCATATTTGGGACATGAGTCTAGGTCCAAAAGCATTGTGCTGCTAGGGTGAGATGGAGTTGGCTGTCTTGCTCGTCTTCCAGCAGGCGTGGAGCGACCAAAGGACCAACATAGGTCAGATCGAGTCTATTGACCAACTGGTCGGAGACCAAGCAACAAAAATGGAGGCCGTCGCTACTAGGTTGGTGGCCATCGCCAGCAGGTTGGAGGCCATCGCCAGTAGGTTGGAGGCCATCGCCAGTAGGTTGGAGGCCATCGCCAGTAGGTTGGAGGCCATCGCTATTATGTCCTGTTTTCCTATGTTTTCCTTGTTTTTTCCTTTAACTTTACAGGGCAACTGGCCGGGAAGATGTGCGAAGATAGTGCGGATTGAGATACCTCAGTCATTGTTGCCTGCTCACGTGATGAGACAAGCATCATTCTTGGCACAGGTCGGCCGTCTCTTGTCCAGCCTTGGATTAGAAGACTACATGGGCTTCTTTTGGGAATTAGTTTGGCTGGATGCTTAGACTGGCGACTTGTTGTTTGACGTGCCAGTGGGCCTCACCAAGGTAAGCTATTCCTTTTCAATTCTTTTCAGTAGTCATTTGTGAATTTGTGTGTATATAATCCAGCGACATTGTTTTCTTAATGCATGTGATCATGCATGAGCTTGAGATGGTCTACTTTTGATGGGTTGACCGCTGTTCAGCTCTAGTTCTGAATCAGTGCTTATTGGAATTTGGTAGATAAGGAGAGAGAGCGTGTATGGGTCGAATCCCTTGGTGCCCAAACAACCAATAGGTGTCCGAAGGTTTGTCGTTGTTTGGAGATGACAGGGAAAGAGACAACGCGAGACTCGAGACAAACAATTTCTTGTTTTGTCGTGCTGAGGAATCTCATCACCTTTGAAGCTGGCATCCTGAATACTTTGCTTTGTCTTCTTTGGTTGAGTTTTGCCGCTTCCCCAGCCACAGAATGGCTGGATTCGGGTTCTCACTTTCATAGGGTGTGTTTGAAGCACATTGCTCCGGTTATCTCCGGTTTCTTTTTATATGTCCAAGGTTTACAGGATTCTGAGACAGTTCGGTGGGTCAGGAGCTGAGCGCTTTACATACAAGCGACACATGCAATGGCTCCTGAGAGTAGGCTGACCTGGGCGTCAGGGGATTCATGCTTGATCTTCAAGGCTGCAATGTTTTGCAAACCGACTTGAAAACCTCTAATATATACCTTTATTGCTTTATGTCCAGACCTGCAAGTTGCCCCTCCTCATGCCTTCCATTCATACTTACGAGATCTTACGAGGTATTTGTGGCGCATGGGCATCTTGCGTTTTGCCCTGGGCTTCATAACAACTGTGATCATTGGTCCAGTGGCTGCCCCAGCAGTCGAACGCAGACCGACGTCTCAGGAGGAAAAGTGTCACACAGGAAAAGTGTGTATTGAAGTTTGATTAATTGCTTACGCTCGGCTCGTTTTTTCTTGACAAATGTTCTTTTGCAGCCCAGTGCACTGTGGTGTTTCTGCCTGGGGTATACTAAGCAGAACAGATTCTTGATGATTGGCGGGTGCTTGCTCTTGGCCACTCAGAACATCTTATGACCTGTTTAAGGCTTATTTGTTCAGCCCCGTCAAAGTTTGCCCAAAAGCGGCTGTTTGTATTGCTTATGTTTCACAGTTGAGACCGTTGATTAAGTATAGTATAGTGTCAAAGCTTCACTGTGCGCCACTTGGACAGTTTCCGACCATCTTCAACTTCTTGGCCCTCCCAGTGGAACGGCGCTTAGTATGTGCAAATGTGAATTCTTGGCCCCAGACGAATTACACCGGTGTAATAGATCCGTTAAGGCCATTTTGGGATCCTTGAATGGTGCTGTGTTTTTGTGGCTTCTTGGAGACAGCAAGTCTTTGTTTTTGCCGGTCTTTGACTCTGAGTTCCCAAAAGTCTTTTGCTTGGCGCAGTCAAACAAGCGGTTCTCACACCATGCAATGCCCTCATAAACCTTCCCTTTACTTGCTTGGCAGCAGTTTCTACAGAGCTGGAAATAGCTTGGACATGCAATGGAGATGATGTTAGGCGGCCTGTTCCTAAGCTGTTGTTCACATTTCTGAGATTCGAATCATCGCCTTCCTTCAGTCGATTTTCGCAGATTCCAGGCAAGCCCACGGTTGGTTTAGGCAGCAGCACACACATCCTAATATAGTATCTTATAGCTATATAATCTACTACATATTATGACTTGGGACTGGGGTTCATGTTGTTCTTGCAGCACCATGAAATGAAGACTATTTCTCGAGTCAAAGCGACAATGTTCGTAGCTTGACATATGCCGTGCCATTCAAAAGATGTCATAGTGAAAGATAGAGAGGCAAGATTATAGGCCAGTTTCCTTGTCAATCAGGAGCAGATATATGAGGCTGGACAGGCTTCAAAGCCAGGATTGTGTTGTAGGATTTCAAGGGTAGATCAGGTGTTCTATATACTGTAATGTTCTTAACGAACACACACACACACACAATGACCAAAGACTTTGAAAGATATCAACCTTGTAGGTCTGACACGGATGAGCCGCCAGCTGTGGTACAAGCAGGTGAGAGACTCTTGGAGAAAGTAGAAACAATGAAATATAAGATATACCGACATGTGCAAATGAATTGAGGTTGCTTGCAAAATCCCTAGAAGCTACACTTTTGGGGGAGAAGAAGAACGTTTTTTTGTCTTTTGAACAGCTTTATGGTGGCACGGAGGTGATATAGATTTAGCTCTAGCTATATTGCAAGATACAAACTGCACTTGGAATTCAAGACATGCCGCATCTTCCTCACACAGCCACCCGAGATACAGATTTGGCCGGTCAAGGGTATCATAGGTCTCGAAAGCAATGCTGCCTCATTCTTGTGCGATGGCTAATCCTCATCCTTGACTACGACGATACTGTAGGTTTGCAATGGTTTGCAATCCTTGCCTTTCTTACTTGAAAGGTACGGAAACGGAAGCGACGGCTGAGCCGCATCACCCCAGCACCGCAGCAGTGAAAGTCTCAACCGACAAAGCTCCTTGGCCGACCCACTAGCGCATCAGTTGGCAAAGAGAGGGAACTGTCCTTTGCTGAATTATGTGTGTATATTGTATATAATTATATATATGCATATATATAGTATTTTTAGTGCTTGCCCATTGCCCACCTAGGACCTCCCCGCTCGAAATCTCCGGCAACGCAAGAAAAAGGAGACTGACGAGGTGGCATCCGTCAGCTGCGCGGTGGCATCCGTCAGCCTAGACTCCGACCTGGAAACCATTGAACACCCTCCTTTCATGTGAGAGAGACAGGCCAGGCGGCCAGGCCGGTCTTTTCTTAAATCAATGCCACGTGAGTGTGCAACCCTTCTTGTGTTGGGGAGCAGGAGCGACTGAATGAAGGGACCTGTCTTTCAAAAATAATCGGCGCATGCTTTTGCATCTTGGCCCTGCATGGTATCATTGAGATTCATTGAGCATTATTGTGGTAGCTTCCCCCTCTCTGTACGTTCGACATGTTTTAGAGTTGCCAGCACACCGATGATACGAGAATCGTGGCGCCAGGAAAAAGAAGCCAAAAAGAAGGCACTCCTCACTGGCGAGGTGGGCGACACGATGTGTTGACTGGCGAAAGTGGACTGATGGTACAGGATTGATCCATCATTGGGTTGGGGATGTCAGCCATCTTTGTCAAACTTCTCGTAATTTCATCCTCATTAACTTGGTGGCGGTTGAGTTGAGTCAGCTGCAGGCGGTCCGACATCGGTATAGGTAGCACCGCCATTATGTTTCCGAAGTGACCCGTCCCACAAGTTTTGGAGTGCTGCTATTTTTTTCTGCTGAAAACAGACAAAGTTGTGCCCAATTGCGGCTCTTGGTTAAGAGGCTTGACTGCTGTTGTATCTTGGTCTTCCAGACTGAACCTCTTTGGGAACATCAATGAATGAGTTGGTTCAGCATTTGATCACTGAGATCTCGAGCCACTTTTCACACGTTTTTGGCACAGGAAAGTTTGGCAACCACTTTTCAGCCTTTGAGACAACATCTAAATGCTTGCCAGAAGTCTGTCCCTGTTCGACCACCTCAGCAGGAGGATGTTTGAAGTGGCAACTTGTGGCTAGGAACAGCTTGGAGAACCTTTTGGTTGAGCACGATGTCAACAGACGTGTGGGGCTGCCAGCTGCTGGGTCAGGCGCAGACCAACACGGAGGATGCAGCCGTGCAGAAGCCAGTTCCAGTACCTGAAGGCTCCAAAAGGGTGGAAGATGGCGGAAGATTGGGTCTATTCTTGGATACAAAAGGAAGCCCCCCGGACAGGTGTTTTTGCCGTTTCAAGAATGACGGTATTTGACAAGTGAGGGTACACTATGTGGGATTTTGTTGATGCATGCTTAGGCTGGGCTTACTTTTGCCATGCAAAGATCCTTGGAATTCTCGTGCACTCTTTCGTTTTTGCCACCTCTTTTGTTGCTCGCATTTCGAGGCCTTTGGCAAGTTGTATCTTGGAGCAACAAAGAGCCCGTCAAAGCTCGTCAGGCTGGCGGGTCACTCGCTAATGTACTTTGATCATGTTTGACCTGTCATCCTCTTACAGTAAAAGACAGTATGATTAGTAGGTGAGCATGACGTGACGTTCACAGATTCTGTGAAAACGTTCGGCCATGAGCCATTCGGCCTGAGAGCTGTCACCATTTGTCACCCAAATTGGATTCTTTCCGTTCACTTGGGCAGCCCATGGATTGATAGGATGCTTGTGTCCGTCCGCAGGCTGCAGCCAGTGCCATGCAATTTGACATTCTTTTGATCCTTACAAAGCCAGTCTGGATCCCAGCCAATGAAACACTTTAGTCCGCAGGCGTTCTTGTCAAATTTGTTTGACCACAGGCGAGAGTGGTACAGGCATGCATGGTTTGGGACAAGTAGATGCTGCACGTCCAGAAACCATGTTATCATCGCACCCTCACCCGAAGAATGAAGGGCACCCATCTTGAGGTGATTCCTTTGTGCATGCTTGTGGCACTGGGACAGGCACTGGGACGCATGCATTTTGGAGCAAAGTGCCTCTCTCATGCTACTGTTTTGATTTGTTTGTGGATGAAGGATGATCGAACAAAGCCTTCAGAATAGGCAACTTTTGCTTCTGAAACATTCCCACAACAGAGTGGCTGGAAACCACAGATGTGGCTGCAAGCCTGCCTGGATGCGTGGACATACTGATTTGCGAGATGTCGTGCCTATGTACCATGTCACGCAGTGTCATAGAAGTTTGTTTGTCATGGAGACCATGAATGTCACTAGGTTTGGAATGGTCTGTTCTCCTCGCTGTTCATTGGCCATGCGCTTCGAAAGTGGGTCCCGCAGATGAGCTATGAGGCTAGCAGTGAAATGAAGACTCACATGCGAATGCAGACCAGACCTTTGCGGTATGGTGTGGTAGTTGTTCGATCGGGGCAAAAGTTAATAACTTCAATTAGGCTTGAATAATTGCAGCATTCTTGAGATTCACTGGAGGGCACACTATCCTTGAGCCTTGCACCTCATTCAATCACTCTACACTAGTACTATGTTGCATGTCAATGTTCTGTAGCCTTTACGGTGATCGTATTTCCGGTGCAGACCTATATAAGCATCCTCGCACCGCTTCTGCCAGGCACACCATCTTCTTTGCGCACTTTTTGGCACTTTGCACACCTTGCTGGGCGTATCTGCATCCAAGTTGGAGGTCCGGTGCAATTCCAAAGGTGCAATTACTGGTCTGGCTGAAGCATTGCACCCTCAAGATTAGTGTGTGACCCATACACTGTGAAGTGGGTCCCTGATCGTGCAGGACTATGCGAACCGAGAAGGCAGCAAGGTGTTGCACTTGGCTTGGGCCTGGTCCTTCAAGGACCGGGCGAGGACAATGATCGCGCAAAAAAATTGCAAGATCAGTGATTTGGTGGTCGTCCCAAGCGTCTAGTGACTAGTGAATTAAGATTTCACAAGACATTGAGTCTTGTTGAGGATTGATGTAACCTACATAGAAAGTACAGAGAAGACATGGTTGATGATCAAACATAGCCTACACATGACTCACATGCACACTTCATGTCCAGATTCCAGGAAAGGGCCGGCGACTTCATTGCGTTGTATCATCGAATCATGTTGGTTGACTACATCGGTACTAGTTACTAGTAGTCATGCCCTTAGCTACTAGTAGCTTCTTGCTCCTAATAGCGATTCCCTTTGCTACTAGTAGCTATTTGCTACTATATAGTTACTTAGACTTTTCGGGGGAGCCTAAGGCCCTAAAGGGTCAATCCTCCACTAGATGCTTAAACCGTTAATTTTGTCAGGGCAGCGCCGATTGCCAAATTTGTGTTTCTCCAATTCAAAAAACACTCAGATCTATCAGGATGTGCTCTCCGTGATGCACATGTGCCAGCTGGGTGCAGCAGTGCGCCTGAAGATATTGTGAGAGATGGTGAGTGAGAGAGTGAGATAGAGAGGTCAGTCACCTGCTGTGTTGGAGAAAGGCGGAATGTCTTTTGGTTGCGTGTGAAATTGTGTCCCTCAAAACCCAATTTCTGGACGAATGACACAAGTGTGAAGTTCCTTTCGGAGCCTACGTGGAGCCAGCTTCCCAAAAGACGACGGATGATTCTTGTTTGGATTCCTCGAGGCAGCCTTGAGCCCAGATGTCGAGAGGATTGAGATGCAACATTTTGGTTCGGGTGTACATCACCAAGTCAGCGCTGTGCTGTGCTGTTTGCGTGGGAGTAATCAATTGTAACTCTGTCCAGCTTGGAAACGGAGTGTTCTTTCATGGTGGTGCCAGGTCACCGCAATGTCTGCTCTTGGGAATGAGCCGTACCTGCACTTAGCAAGCGAGGGACGAGGTTGCATGAAACGGATGGTGTTTTTACAAGACAATGTTTGTAATTACTTCTGGCCTGATCTGCTTGATGGGTCTTTGCCCTGTTGGTTTGTTTTTGTGTGTGTTTTTTAGTTGTCAATATCAATTACAGTTCTTTGTTCATTGGGACCTGAGAGCTGCAATTCTGCAGCTTCCTTAACTTGTTTTTTTTTGCCTTTTATATCCTTAAAGCAGGAAGATAGCACAGACAGAATTACAATATAAGACAATCGCGAGGCCGTTCCCTACGTTTGCGTGTGGCTGGCAAGTGAGGTCTTACGCGGCATCCTTTGCTTCTGGCATCGCTTTACGAATTGCCGTGGGCCAGGCACAGATGTTGGGACAGTATCCGACAGGAGAAGTGTGCCACAAGTTGGCACAGTATATGAAAAGATTGTTGAAGAAAGTCTGAGTTATATCCCAAATTTGATTTAATCGCTGAAGGATTACCCATGTAGATAGCTTCATCTATTTGATTGGCAACGCACACCGGCCGTGCAAGTCATTTTGCCTCCAAAGCAGGATGCCTTTCGTGGCCTTGGGTTTGTCCACTCATTGGCAGACTATTTTCAGGCCAGCTCCGGTAAACTGGGACTGGACCATGTCAGGTGTCAGAGCAGTCAGAAAAAGCTCATTGATAGCCTGTCCCACTAACTGCTATGCCAATTCTTGACCTACTATGGTGATGTGACGAGCTTGAAATTTGAGGCAACCCTCAAGGATCTGGGTATCTCGCTGGATGCGGCAGACGAGGCATGATCACGGCACCATGTGGCAAGGAGTGGAAATGTCACAGTTCAATCCGAGCGGAAATGGACAATGATACGCAAATGGAGACTCTACCTTGTTAGTGTTATATAGGTATTGTCGCATGAAGACGAACACAGCTTGGTGTTGCTTGGTGTAGATCTCGGTGGACGGTTAGTTAAGATCTTTTCCGTGTTGAAAGGCATATAGGATAGATGCCTCCAACCTAGAAGCGATGGCCCTGGCCTCCAACCTCAGAGCGATGGCCTCCAACCTGATAGGGACGGCCTCGAACCTAATAGCAATGGCCTCCAACCTAATTGTAGTGGCCTCCAACCATAGGATCGAGGGATATCGAGGAGGGGCCCTCTGGCCCTCTGGATATACTATACATCCCACGGAACCCTGCTTTGCAAGGTTGTAGCCTACAGTGGAAGTGGCATCGGTGACTGCGGAGGCGCTGGCACTATCTGGCACTTGGTGCATTTGGAGCATTTTCCGGGCTCTTTAGACGGATCCTTTGCAAGACAAAAGAGCCTCTAGACAGAGTGGGTATGATTGATACTGATATGCATACTGCATACATGCATTCAGCTTCAGCTCTGGAGGTGTGTGATGGTGTGTGTGGGGTTGGCTGTTGAGCATTCATTTCTTCACAGGTGGACCTTTCAGGATGCTCTTTGGGGATGAGACGTTCGCACACCCAGAAAACACTGGAGAACACAGAGAGCGACATATGATTGACGTGAAGCTTTGGCATCCTAATCCATGCATCTCCATCTCCATGCTTGAGTTTTTCCTTGCAAGGCTCTATATACTCGTACTCCATGTTGTTTCTTTAAGAGCACAACAAACAAGATCGTGGAAGCCTCAATGTGCATATAATTGAGGCTTGCTGCGATTGCTGCTGTAGTCCTCAAGGCACTGAATGGTTGGAACAAGCTAGCAACCTGGAGAAGCTGGTGCTGACTGCATGTCGTCCAATCCAATAATGTTGATGTGTTTCTTCTTCATTGATTGATGCTCTCTTTTTTTTCGCAACATCACCAAGTCTTATGTTATTCTTGCTGCCCATGGTGCATTTCATTTTCAACTCAGCTCCTCGATAAGCACATTGTGTCATTCCGTCAGTCAACGGTCCTCAGTGTACATGTTCTTTATTTGTCGGGTCCTTCTGACCTACGATTCTTTTGGACAGGCTTGGCTGCTCTTGTTGCCAGCGCTTTCCACTGCCCAGTGGTTCCAACGAACCTGCCAAGCTAGCCGGATGCTGGGGTACCTCTCCCGGCCAGCTCGTGGCCGCTGGATTCTTCTGTGTGGTGTGCTTCAGGGATTTGGCGTTTGGCGTGATAGCTTGTTGCTGTCCTTATGCGACCTGTGACTGTGACTTGATTCACCGACATGATTCGAAAGATCATCGGTCACAAAAAGAATCTAGCTCAAACTGGCCCTGGCACAGTCCTGGCAGCCAATCCACACAGGATTTGTCTCTTCCACCTGTAGGATTTGGCTCAGCCTCGGAGCCGTCCCATTTGCCCTGCCTCTTTGTTTCGTGAAGGGCAGCGGCCAAAGTGTCTTCCACACAGATGGGCTTCTTGTCTGAGGATCAGTGGGGGTTCGGAGTCCCCGAGTGGGGAGATGAAGAGTGTCTTCAAAGATCATCACTTTTTTTCTTTAAAGCCCGGGTGGGTGTAGACCGGTAGAAGAGGTAGTCAGGTAGCTAGTAGAAGCTAGGTAGCTAGTAATTAGCTTAATACCTGCTACCTAGGACGCAGGATAGCTAACGCACTGTTCATTTGGTTCCTAGATTTTTAGGGAAACTTAATTAACCCCCTACAACTCAACTAATATACATATATGTAATTGTAATATATTGTAATATCGATGTTTGTTTGTGATATCGATGCTTTCTCATGCAAGACATGGCAAGATTATTTCCAATCTTTCGAAAATCAGTTCACACAGAATTGCCAAAGCTCCGAGGCGTGAATAGGCTGTTGCACCTCAAGGCCTCAGATGGACTGCTTTTCTCTAAGCAGATCTTGACCTTCTCGCGGTCTCGTGACTCTTGCTTTTTCATGTTTGAAAGGTAATTAGTCGTTTTTGGATTGTTCTTGTGCATATTTTGGACTAAACGATGCCCACTTTGTGGACACTGTGGTTCCGGTATTTCATGTTTGATCAGAAGTGAAAGAGGTTCTGTCCTGGGCTGAAAATGCCAAGACAAAAATAAGTGGCATGGACATGCATGGACACAGTGAGCTTAATGGGAAAGATGTTCCAACATCCAGTTCACTGTTTTGTTCGTGCGTCCATTACTGCAACCTGCAACAGCAACTTCGGCAAACAAGTAAACTAAGGAAACAAGCCGAGTGTTTTCATCTCAAGCCACTCTTTGCATGTCGTTGGAGCAGATGGTGTCACTAAACCATACCAGGTCAAAGAGCCGCGAGAGGCGCGGATGACGTTGTCCACGACCCTTGTTTTGGCGATCCTCCACTGTGCGCATTGCCCTTTTCAGAAGAGGAAATGGTTGAGTTATAGAGCTCCACCGCATCCATCAGGCTTCGAGCTTTAACATTGTCTCCTCCAGCGATGAGGAGGCAGAGGCGAGTCTGATATGCCCTGCTTGCAAAAGTGGATACATACATCATACATATTAAAATACAATTGTTAATTATATACTTACAGTAGTTAGTTTGGTCTCAGTTGTTACATTGTTTAGCGAGGAGTCAGCATACTGGTCCTGGTACTAGTACCGTTAAACTGATCATGAGAAATTACTTCTCGGTTCCTTTGGGGAATGTGAAAGGACATGTTGCTCAAGTTGAAACCTCTCAGGCTATGAGGGATGGCAGCTTTCCCGGGTGTACAACTTTCCCCCACTGTCGAAGTGACGTTTTCTTTTGTTTGTTTTGTCAAGCTCGCTGCCTGATTTTGTTTTGTTTGGCAGGATATCAAGGACAGTGGTGAGGTTGGCTGACTGGTGGCGAGTGTCGAGCGATTTGCAAACATGTTGAAAGATTGCCAGATTGGAGATTGGGGGTATTTGGGCCATTGCCAAGATGAAACATTGCTTTTGGTGTTTCGTGGCTAGATTGTTCAAGATCTTTGGATCCTGTTGTGCTTGCCATCCACAGCTGTAGAAAGTTGATAGGTGTGAGAGGCATTTCTTTGGGAGATATGTACCTTCCTCCCCTACTGCTTTAGCTACGTCACGATGTGAACAAGTGAAGGGCATCGGCGCATCCACCAGGCGCCCGTTGTGCAGCCCCCCTTCTGCCTCTAAAGCTAAAGTTAAGGCCAGGCACGTTGCCAGGGAGAAGAGCAAGAGGAGTCCATTATCATTAGTAAAACCTTCCATGACCGACCTTCCTTCCATTGCGTGCCAAGCACACTTGTGGCAAAGGACAAGTGCAATTTGGGGATGACAACTTGGAATTTTGCCTGCAGCTTTTCTTGCTTGCTGTTGTTTGTGTAGTTCCTCAGTTCACAGACGAAACTTTTGATTTGGAACGCCTCAAAGTGGTGGCAATTGTTACTGGCAGTGGCTTTCAGTTCCTGCACATTGAGCAATGCGGCAACTACCATCGAGCTCATTTGTGCACAATCGTACAGCAGGATGAACGCATTTCCGGATGCTGGAAATCAACAAATGATTAGTGCGAGCGCTATCCTGCGTTCAGTAGGTAGTAGCTTAAGTAGCTAGTATCGAACTTCTCCCTTGTATACTTAATTAAGTAGGCGCCTACTTAATTAAGTAGGAGGTCGGCCAAGAAAAAGCTTCGATTCTCACCTTGACCTTTTGTCGATAGACCGGCCCCAAAGCCACGGAGCACAGGTCTCCAAGCGTCGAGCCCTTGCTCTGCAGAAAGAGCTCCTCGTTGCCTTTGGGGCACCAGACTTCCAAAAGGCCTTGCACGAGCTGGCCAGGACGTGACACGCGACACCGGAGGTCGTGGTTCTACTACAGTAGCCCTGTAAAAATATCACTATTCTTTTGTTATAGTCGTCTTTTTAATTTGGGGGTATCTCACCACATTCAGACAAGAGAGATAGTATGATCATCGAGCTTTTGTCCAGGGAGGCATTCTCACTTGAACCCCGGCTTGCAGTAAAGCCGTTTTCTCTTTTTGATGAACATGTTGACCCGTGTGCTACTCCAGACTTGCCGGGTGGCGCCATTGTCGCACCAGGATCCACAACGATCCCAAGGGAGTCAGCAGAGAGTTTGCCTCTGGATTTTGCAAACTGGTGAGGAGCCGTCAGGCCATGGCGCACGTCCCAAAGTCTCAAACAGACTCATTGCCCTTTGAGGTGCCCAGGTAGCATCCCATTGAACACTGGAACCCGAGTTTCTAGCTCTGAGTTTCTAGTGTTTTGATGTGTTTTGAAGCAAAGGCTCGGGTACATGAGTTGGATTCCGGTACATGGTACTGTACACCGAGTGTCACTCACGCTGCAGTGCTTCGTTTTTGTTGACCTTACCGGGTGCGAAGCGTGGAGATCTTGCCAACAGATGCGAGACCGCCACGTTTCACGGATGCCAAAGATGTTTGACGAGATTTGCGAAAAGATTACCTGTTTGAATTGGATCCTGAATCCATGAGTGTAGATCAACATTCATGATGCACATGGCTTGACACAACCTTCTCTGGCCTTGCCATTGGCAGGTGGAGATAATCCCCAGGTATGGCTATGATGGATCAGAGGAAGGTGTAGAAGAGATGCTGAGGCACAACTCTGCTCTATTTGCAGTTTGACTGAGCACAGTTGGCATAAGCCAATGCGATCCAGATTCCAGTCTAGGATGTTACTAGGTAGAGGCCATCGCTATTAGGTTGGAGGCCATTACTACTACAGTAGTAACAAGGACGCTACTAGGAGCAAGGACGCTACGATCCAGATTCCAGCCTAAAGTCTAGGTGTAAATTCGATCTGAAAGCTTGAGGACCTTCAAAGAGATGGAGGGTGATCCAGACATCTACATCAATGAGGCACTGGGGGCCGGAATGTTGCCGCTGCAACTCAGTATATTGCAAAATATGTGTGAGACATTGTGGAATATTGCATAGCTAAAAGAGGTTGCTAATTTCAGATTGAACATCAATAGAAAAGCAGGTTGGGCTGCAGGTCGCTCTTGTTTCCACAGCCGAGAGCAAGACAGCCAGCACCATCAGATAAACATACATACAGGCTTTAAGTGATTGCATCCTCATTAATCATGAATGTTCAACCATAATATGTGGAACTACGGTGTATGGTGTGTGTGTATATATATATATTAGAAATGCTAGGATATGCTATGTTCATGCATATCATTTATGCAACATTTCTATTGGCATTGTCAGAAACAGAACCACCAAAGAGTTCCACACGTGCTGCAGGTGGCCATCAAAGAGGCCTTGTCTTTGGAGGTCCTCAGGTCTCCTCAGACCAGTGATGTGGTCCCGGCTAAGCCCATTAGCAAGGCCGATGGAGGGTTTAGATCATGAAGCCTCAACAATTGGGGTTCGCTTTTTTTTGTTTTTCGTTGCGCTAGCAAAACACATATAAAGCAAATTGCAAAGGCCCGGTTAAAGCCTTCATTGAATCAACTTAATCAACCTTATGTTTGCTTGAACTTTGGTCGTGACATGTTGGTGCTGATCAGTTGTTTGTTGATCCCACCATGTTCGTCTTTCCATCTTCTCTAGTGAAGGACACTAATCCTGAAACTGGCAGGAGCGAGTGCTTGAGCTTTTGCGATTGCACCTGGCAGAGTTCAGCAAGGCCGCATCTCTTTGTTCTTGACGTCTAAGATTGTGTGTTTATGTTATCCCGGGTTTCCCGTTTTATATGTAAGTTTTCAACATAACATAGGTCCTTTGTCTGTTTGTGTGATCTTTTGCTGCGATGTTCAATGGGTTCAACTAACACAATCACTGTTTGGAATGCTTATTTCGACAATTCGTCAAACATTAGGCACTTGGTGAAGACTTGGAACATCATACTGAGAAATTCCTTGATTCATTCTAAGGCTTTCTTCCAACACAAGTTGGAGGACCTTAAGAAGGCTGCAGATCGCTCTTCAGGACAGCCGGTGCGACAAAGTGTTTGAGAGGCTTCTCTTGACATTCATTTCTTGAGGCCTTGCGGGACAAACTAAGTCTAAGCAATGAGGCCTTCAGCCGAATTGATGAAGGATATGAAGGCCTTTATGAATATTCAGCAGTTTAGTCTGGAGCGAAAACACACTTCAACACGTTTATATTCAAATTAGCCTGAAAGCTTGC